TTGGATTCTCATGTTTCCGACCACGTGCTACACTACTCATTAATGGAATTGGCCAAACACCCTAAAGCAGGACCCTCCTGCTAAAGAGTGTTGAGACTCAGTGAAACGTTCCCGAGAAGATAATTGGCACTTCACAATTACGGTGCTGTATACGGTACCCATTAAGGCTAATGTAGTACACATGTGGATGGTGTGACCTCTCCAGTGTTGGTGTTCACACACAGCACCAGGTATTCATGTGAGGCTGAGCTTACCTATAGGAGGCCCACAACAGGTTCATTTTCCACTTACCATGGATACTGTGCCGAGTCAGACACACACTAACCTGCAGGCCTAAAAAAAAATTCTGCCTCTGCTGTTATTTCTAAGAATTCATTAAAAAATAAAATCTAATATCTATCTTACCAAAAGGAACCTTTGAGCAAAGGAAGCAAAATTAACTGCTTCTCAGTGATGCAATTGCCTTCAATAGGTACTCTAATCACCTCAGCAGTGGAGCTGCCCACAGCTATAACCTACTCACAATCACCAGTTCAGAGATTGCCTTGAATAACAAAGGCTTACTTCAACTTAATTAGGCCCAGAAACGTATTACACTCATGGTAGTGTAATCAAAATCCTGAGTTTAAACCTTTCTTGTTTTACAAAAGGCTTAAGCGTTGTATAACACCCCATTTGTCCAGATCATCGCCAATATCTGTTATTGGAAAATCTAATAGAATTGCCTAATTATTTTAATTGACATCCTCAAGGCAAAGTAGTTTGTTGGGTGTGGTGTCAGAGAATTCGTTGCCTGAGACACTCACCTGCAGGGGTAGGATGTTTACCAGTAGATGGTAGTACAGTCAGTAGGCTACTGATCTGTCTGTAGACACTTTTGAGCATGTTTTAGAGCTTTAGTGCCCTTGTAAATATGTGGGGTTCTCCAACTACAAAACTACTCAAAATTAATTTGACCAAACATCTCCTGCAGCAGAAAGCCTGTCACTCGGTGAGACTTTTCTGTCTAACTATCATGAGCAGTATGTTGAATGTGACACGACAGTCATGGACATAACTTTAAATGACCCAATCTTTTATCACGGTGCTGAGTTCTGTCCACTAAACGTTAATCTCATCTGCTTAGCTAAGTAGAGCCTGGCGGAGCCGAACACTGAGCACAACACGAGATTAAGTCTTGAGCACATGGAGGTGTGATCGCTCTCGTGTGCTCGCTGCGTGCTATTTCTTCGCAGCCCGATTTCCTTTACCCTCAAAACCACCGCCACCCACACACCCACCACCATCTGCATCACTCATCAACAAAGCCTGCTGCTACAGGGGCCTGGTGGCTGGAGGTCACCCCTAGAGACACGTAGGGACTGAATTAATCATCGGAACAGCGTCTTCAGGTTTGTACATAGTCACTTAAGGAATCGCATGAAATCACTCTGCACAGTACAGTATAATGATGTTGTATAACGTGTTCGCGTCCAAGCGTCTACCTGCACAGATATTACCGAATGTATTGTTGACAAATGTGGTGTGTTTAGAACGAGAACAACCACTGTAGAGGTATAGGGCAAGTAGATTTGTGAACCATAGCCCCTCGAGGATTTTACATGTTTTATATAGTCATGCATATAATTAGCTCTAATGACTAATTAAATCCCTTGGTACCACTTAATGATTCATGTTTTTTTTAAAGATAGTGAACAATTCGTTATTTTCACTAGTAACCAAAGCATACTCCAATCCAGCCCCTTCTGATGATTGAAGTGAATTCCATGCTCCCACCCAGGGCTTAACTACAGCCAAGTCTGTACGGGTTGGTGACCTTTCGCATCCGGCACATCACATCAGGTGTACCACTCGCTATGGCTGTGGCTACTCGTCATCTGCCTGTAAAATTATAGTTGTTGCTCTCCATCAACATCAGTCATACGAAGATGAAGACCTGCCTATTCCAGTCTACCAGAGACACGGGGAATACTCAGTGAGACGTTAATCCGCGCTCCCACCCATCACACACTGAAAAGTCACACGATGTACGTGCTCCAGAGTTCTCCCAGATCAACTGCACTGTATTTGGGTTCGGCAATGCTAGACGTTGAAGGGCCACACCTTAACCATGTGTCTGCTGCATGCAGCTGATGCTTCGTTTGTCACTAGCTCGCCAGTGAACATTGTTGCTGGTTATGCATTGACACGTGTCATGCTCGTATAATCCACCAGGTCAGTAGCTTGATAAACTGTTAATAATGTTAACCATTAACTCCTGACTAAAGACGCTGGCTTTACGACAGGCAAACCAAGTCTACAGGATGTAACACTAATCCTTTGCACTACAGGGCTGACTGTGTGGCCCAATTGAGTTCCGTGCTCATGTCTGGTTTGTGTATCTGCCTCTCTCATTAAATTTATGTATTCACTTGACGTAGAATGTGAACGTAAACAATTCTCTATTTGAGTTGACCATGCCTTAATAATACTCAAGGGTTGAAGGGTTTGACTGCTTGCATGAACAATTGGGTGACACTTATCTGTATTGTTTGCGCTTTGCCAGTCGTGGACATTTTACATTCATCTCGCAGAGGGAAATAATTTTTTCCATGGGATGAATGACCTTTTTGATTTAAAGCTTTCGTGATTGCAGGGATGCATATTCTTGGTTCTTTCGGTAAAGTCAAATATAAAACAATACAATTCTCACGACGTTTCTCCTGCAACACAAGCAATCATCATCAGGTGTGAAAACCACAGCAAGAAAACCGCCACTTTTTTCAAATTTTCTTGCTGTGGTTTTCACACCTGATGATGATTGCTTGTGTTGCAGTCGAAACGTCGTGAGAATTTTATTGTTTTGTATTTTTATTATTTTATTGTTTCCCTTCTACGTGACTTTACCGAAAGAACCAAGAATATGAATGACCTTGTTCAATTGCCACAAAGTGGAAATTTTAATTTGCCCAGGAATGGAATGGAATGCAGTCTGGTTAATGTTGGTGGGTACGTGAATAACGCGTTACATAACAAGACACGAACACGCAATCGGCACGTTTAATGCAGTTCGTGATGATTAATAACCATCCATCCAGATTCACTACAATGTCACAATTCAAGGGTGACGATTCGATCATAGGATTGCTTTGAATCGCTACACAGTGATCGCGCTGAGAATGATGATTCCGTATGGCCGCCAATGGAGAGAAACTATAGTATTAGAGATTCGGTTTAAAGTCATTTAGCCATATTCAAGCTCCTGTGTGAGACGGTGCCTAACGTTATCATGGGGGTAGGTTAATATAGACATTAGAAGTGCAGCTATGCAATTTATTACTAAACTAAAATATATATTTTTTTATTTTACCAGGTAAGGCCCGCTGAGCTATATAGCTCTTTTTTAGAAGCGACCTGTCCACAAGTGATAGCTCAATGAAGTGGCTTATCATGTGGAGATTTATAGAAGCCAAATACTCTAAACTACTCGTGATCAGATCCCATCTGTGAAGGACAAGATTCCTGACATGCAATATCCCGGCGTCGACAAACTAAGCTGTATCCGCGGCAGCAGTTACATTGGGGAAACTAAGCGACACGTCTCGGACTGTATTCGCGAGCATAAGGCAGATCTGAAACACGGCAGGACCAATACTTCTGCCGTGGCTGATCATTACTTTAATTCGGCTGGCTCACACGGAATTGATTTCTCTTAGACGATAGTACTTTGCAAGCCTACTGGCTCTCAACACAGATTCGTTCATGAAGCCATCCATATATACAGACACAGAGACAATTTCAACCGAGAGGATGGTTATAGGCTCAGCAATCATTGGAAAGATGTCATCAACCACTTTGGGTCATGACTTGACTTGTGTTTTCTTGTCAATCAACCTCCACCGTCAGCAGTGTGGTGCAGGAATTTCTTGGCGGCCCTTTGCTGCATCGGCATTGCTGCTGCCCCAAACCTTAATAAACAGTTTGTCTTGAGAGGCTGACTCCTTTGCCTGATGACGACCGCTTGTGTTGCGATCGAAACGTCGTGATAGTTTTATTCACTTTATTTTTATTATTGTTTTCTATCTACGTGACTTTACCGAAAGAATAAAATAATAAAAATATAAAACAATAACATTCTCACGACGTTTCGACTGCAACACCTGATGATGATTGCTTGTGTTGCAGTCGAAACGTCGTGAGAATTTTATTGTTTTATACTTTTATTATTTTATTGTTTCCCTTCTACGTGACTTTACCGAAAGAACCAAGAATATGAATCGCTGCAGTTACGAAAGCTTTAAATCGAAATTTTTACCGAAAGAACCAAAGAATACTCTAAACGAGTGACGTTGATTCTCAATGTGGAGGGAAAAAACCGGAGCACCCGGAGGAAAAAAATGCACGCGACCACGGGGAGAGAGAGACACGCAAACTCCAAATATACAGCGGCACGCGTCAGGGTCGGGATCGAACCCACGACCTCCTGCACACCAGGCGAGGTAGTTAACATCTCGGCATGAGGGTGGCGGTGGGTTGGCCTACTCTTCCACTGGTGCGCGAATTAAGTGGTAGTCTCCTCCATGGAGCCCAAGTCTCACACACACACACACAAGCGCACACAACAACAAAGATGTTTTTGTTTTGAACACTGAGCTTAACATGTTTAATTGAAATTAGTATGCTTTGTTGCATTGATTGAACCATCTCTTGTTTTAAAAAATATATATATTTGGTTTGGTTTTCATATAAACCCTCTTGGGTTTCCAACCTCACCTACACCACTTTTTTTTACTTTGTTTGCTTTTTATTTATTTTCACTGTTCGTCTTTTGCTTTGTCTCCTTTTTTATAAATCGTCCAACGTTCCGTGAGCGGCCTAACGAACGACGGCCGTTTTGCCTGAAGAGAGGTGGGGGGGGAATGGGGGACAGCGCACGCGGGAGAATGGGGGGGTTGGGCGTGGCCTCGCGGCGAGAGGCGTGGCTTACGAGTGTGGGCGTGGCGAGCTCTGCAAGTGGTGGTGGTGGTGTGGGGGGTGCCGCTGCTGCTCCTCGCGCTCGCAGTTGGAAGGCGAAGCGCGGCTGGCAGTGCCCTCGCCAACTCTCCCCTCGTCACTTAACTGCTGCTGCCTCCTCCTGCACCCTGCACCAACTAAAGTCGCCCACTCTCCATCCTCACCCATCCTCCTCGTCTCGTCCGACCGTCACCTCGTCTCGTCCGACCGTCACCTCGTCTCGTCCATCCGTCACCTCGTGGACTCGTCCGACCGTCACCTCGTCGTCTCGTCCAACCGTCACCTCGTCTCGTCCGACCGTCACCTCGTGGACTCGTCCGACCGTCACCTCGTCGTCTCGTCCAACCGTCACCTCGTGGACTCGTCCGACCGTCACCTCGTGGACTCGACCCACGGACGGTCGGTTCGGGTGAGTTGGTTCGCGTCGCGCTACTCAGCTCCCCTGGAAGCCAGCCGACGCGGGCCGCTCAGTGATGTGCGCTGCGGAGTGAGTGAGTGAGTGCCGGGCGAGGCGAGGGGGGATTGTTCTTCTGTCTCGAGCCAAGAGCGTTCGGTGCCAAAGCTGCTTCGTTTGGGAGCGAGGGAGAGATAAACAGCGACTGAAGTTGGTGGAGCACGACAGGCGGCGACGCCGCGGGTTCTGGACGTGATGATGTTCACGCACCGGGGTGGAGCAACAACAACAACAACAATAAGTAGAAGTTTGTTTACTTTTGTCATGAATGAGGCTTTCGCATTCGTTTGTAACGGTGCCGGGGGTGGGGTGGTCTCACAGCCTGGGTCTGTAACTAACAAGAAAATGAGCCGTCTTTGTGTGGGTTACAGACATAAGTAGAACATATGCGCCTTTAACCCACTTTAAACGCTTCCGATTATGACACTTTTAGTTTCGTTGAGTAAATTGTTCTTAAAATTTATTTAGAATATAATTGTTATGATGAGTGTCTGCTGCTGCTGCTGTTGTGTCCCTGAGATTCCCGACGAACAGCCGCTATATAAATGTAATTATTATATATACTCTGGGAGCAGTACTCAGTGTTTACGGTTCATAAAACTAAATGCATCCCTTATGATTATTGTAAAACCCCATTGGCAAGCTGACTGCTGAATAGAAGATCAACTTACAACTCTTCCTACACGGTCACTGCGGGGATGTAGGGAGCGGTGGTGCAGCGGTTAGCGCGCTCCGCCACGAACCCGGCGACGATTATTTGAATCGGTTCTGGGCCTCCCCTAAGTCGACTCCGACTGAAATGAGTACCTGGTGCGAGGAGACAAAGGCGCTCGGGCGTTGTTGCCGCCACCCGCCCCCTCCTCCATCGTGTGCCGTGGCCGGCCTGAATAGGCGCTCGCGAACAGCCCCTACAGTATGTTAAGACAATACGGGGGGACATTTGTCGTTGGGATGTTTGACCATACTTCACCACGCTCGTCAACACTGTAATTCAGTACTGTACTCGGCTTTAACTTTCAGGAGAGACCAGGGGTCTCTTCTACCCTTCAGAACAGACGCCAAAGTCTAGGTTACCGAGAAGAGGCATGGATTCGCATTTCAATGATTAGATTTTTGTTCCGTTTTTACCCATATAATTTGTATTTCTTGTTATGTTTCGTGTTTCATTTGTAGACGTTTATCCACTCCGGTGGGATAAATGTAACAATTTGGTGGTTTCCGCTCGTTGGGTACGATCGTGGATATTATAATGCGGCTGTTTGTGTTATCGTTTGAGTTGTGGTTATATTGTGACTTAAGTTGAAAAATAGTTGTACGCCTGTTGCTAATATTTATACACGCGGAGTTGATGATACCGAATTCACATGATCATTATTGTTGATGTCATTGTTGATATTTATTTGTAGTCGATATGAGCAGTAAACGCATTGTTGATGTTGACATGTCATTGTGGATGTTATGTCAAATCGCTGATATTTATGGTGATATGTTTTACAATATTATTGTTTTCATATGTTATTGTTGATGTCCATTGAAAGTTTGGCAAGTGGGTGTCGTGGGCGGTGCTGTTTGCCCTATCAATGTCGCTCCAGCCACGCTCAGTGCAAGTCCTCACCCTTCTCTTGTGGATGTGTTCGTGATATTTCCTAGGGCTAAGTCAGACTAGGGCACTTTATCATTGTACATGACCAACAAGCACACAGAGACAAATAACCCAGGTATTGTACACATCCTCCAAAGTGACCAACGTGTAGACACCCATGGTTGTTAAGTGCAGTCTCCAATTCTTATCCACTCTATATCTGGTCTTGTTATTGATGTGCAATGAAGAAGGGCCATATGCCAAAACATCGCCTATTATAGTCTTTTCCTTTTAAGGCTACAGTGTTATTGACAAATGTGTTCAGTGTTTTTGTTCACGTGTAGACGAAGGCATTATTAGGATTCTCAGGAATCCCTGCTGTTGCTCAAAGCTCACAGAGCCAGACGTAAGGCATCTTGAGCATTCTTAGGACTTAGTGTTCACGCACCAGGCTCGGAATTCTGAGGTCTAGCTATCGGACACAATTTATAATGTGGAGATTTGCTGTTTCAGGTTGTTAGGGCCTCCGCTGCGAGAGATTAACAACTCCGCTGGAAGACAGAAAGTGGTGAAATAAACTTAAAGTATACAACAACGGGTTATCAGCATCCGATGGATTTTGAACAATATTCTATTTGAATTTCATTCGCACTGTTTTCTCGCTCAGGCATTTTTACCTTTGAAAATAATTATTATGTTTAAGTTTATTTGACCGCTCGCTTTTTTCCAGTGGAGTTGTACATCTTTTGCAGTGAATGCTGCAGGAAAACTCCACGTTATAAACTGTCTGATAGCTTTGACCGGCATATTGGAAGTGCCTCTCTACTGTATAGTGTTTATTTTTCTCATATCTCTAGTGTCTCTAAGGCATCTAGTGTCTTCGGTGTTTCTTTTGTGTATTTCCTGTGACAAGTGAATATCTCTGGTGTCTGTCATAGGGATGTAATGATGCATCAGTTTATTAATGTTGATTCTTAAGGCTCATGATGCGTGTATGGGATCACATTCGTCAGGATTGATGCTTTTTTCTTTTGCAAATTAAACATGTGGTACGCTCATGGTCCATTGGCTGATGGTGCGAACAAACAACTGCAAAAAACGAAACCAACAACATGTTTAAAAATACAAACGAGACGGTAAAACAATTCAAGCAGAATATAATTATGAATCGAATCCCAGTTATTAATTGTGATAATTTGTCAAATTGATGAGCGTGTAGGAAGGAGTGGTTAATTATTTTCCTTTAGCCTATACAGCTGTGCCTAGAGTGTCTTGTGAATGCAGTTCCCCGACCTATAAACTTAACTTTTTTTTATTTTCCCAGGTAAGCCCCACTGAGCTATATAGCTCCTGTATACCAGGCGAGGTAGTGAACATCTTGCCATCTGTACAGTGTCTCGTGTACATATTGCCTTTGCAGTGTGTGAAGTGTCATTAGTGACGGGTCTCTTGTGTCTGTGGTATTTATAGTGTCTGCAGTGTCTCTAGTGCATGCAATGTATCTAGTGAAGTGTTGTGAGGAGCGGTAGCTTAGTGGTCAGCGCAATGTGTTATATCTGGGTTACCCGAGTTCGATTCCTACTCTTGGCCAATGTGAGTGGTGAATATCTGAACTGGTCTTGGACCTCCCCTAGGTCGTCTCTGCCTGATATGAGTACCTGGTTTGGTATATGAACCTTATGGCGGGACCCCGGGGTCCCATAAGCCCCCGGCTCTCGCATATACATGAAATTATAATGTAAACAAAAACTTTGCTCCTTTTCACCAATGGGTTTGAAGGAAGTTGGCAAATGCCTTGTTAAACTATGCCTTTAAAACTGAAAACTACTTAGCTGCAGTACCTCTATTTAAATACACTAGCCAAAAATAATTTACACCCCTCTGTCAATCATCGTGTTTCTCAGTGTGGATTTGTGAATGCACTTTGTAAGCAGTACATAAAATAGGACGTTTTCAATGCGCTGTCCATATTGTAACAAGCGTTTATACCAATGTTACTCTACAGAGTAGTGGGTCGCCGCTCCTCTTATCCGCATTGATGCGAGCGGTATGTGGGGACTATGGCTTAACCACAAAAAAATCTGCACAGATGCATACGGACAAGAGAAATATTGATTTGAAGCTTTCTTGACTGCTATCCATATTATATTCTTAGTTTTTTCGGTAAAGTCACGTTGTTGTTTCCCTTCAACGTGACTTTACCGAAAAAACTAAGAATATGAATTACTGCAGTCACGAAAGCTTTAAATCAAAATTTGCTATCCATATTCTTTGTTTTTTTCGGTAAAGTCACGTAGTTAGAAAAAAACCCCATCATATATTATCTTATTTTTCTACCTACGTGACTTTACCTAAAGAACCAAAGAGTAAGATAAATATTATCAGACAGGAGGAGTTAACGGTGCAACGCATCTTATCTGTTAAATATCTGCAGGTAACAGGGTTGTCATCGATTGATCCTGGCCGCAGACATTGGTAGGTCACAAATAATAATGAAGATAACAGAGCAGTTTCACTGTATTATGCATACCGTTATGACAAATAAAGGACTTAAGTCGTGTAGGCAGTTTGAGCAGCTTTGGCTAAGACTTATGGTCCTGCCCATACCCGAACATGGAGTGCATTCACTTGTTCAGCTCTAATGCGCATTCGTCCTCGCTGCGCTTGGACGACAACCGAATGATCCACGCCAGGTGGGTCGTGGCGTTTATGTGCACGGTGGGACAGAGTCGCTAAAAATAAAAAAAAACGATTTTGACTTCGGTTTATTCGGGACCCCGGGGTCCCGCCATAAGGTTAATTTGTAAAACTTTAGCACCGGGGAGACATAAGGTTTCTGACCGCGCCATACCCTCTTGCGACCTTCATAGGTGCTCGCGAATAGCATTTTCCCCAACAGCCTGAAAAAGCCTTTATTTGTCTTTGTCTCTTGTGTCTGCAGTGTCTGCCTATTCTGTAGTGTGTATTTTGTCATGCAGGTCTGTTCTTCCTCGCGCGACAGATCTCGACTCCACGAGAGCCTGGTCCAACCACCTGAGAGAATGTGTCCCTGACGAGTGTGTGTACATCATCGCCAAGCCCATAGATGAGCGGGAGAGAGAAGAAGGGAGGTGGGCAAGGAGCCGAAGAGGCCAAGAGAATGTCTGAGTAGACGATGATGGGGTGCTGGAGGAGGAGTTTGGTGAATAAGGTTGTGGTGGAGGGGGAGGAGGTTGATGAGGGGGTATAAAATATGTTGGAGGAAGGAGGATGTGGACGAGGTGGTAAAGGATGATACAGACACAAGGAGGATAATGGGGATTTGGCTAATGGGGGGGGGGGGGGAGTGAAGGATGAGGACATAGGATTTTATAGGTTATGAAGGCATAGGAAG